GGGGGGGGGGGGGTTGGCTCATTCCTTTTCTTCTTCACAGACTTCTAAACATGGAAGCACCAATACGATCACCTTTGGTTAGAGAGGCCACTGAGACTTAGGGGAGCCAAAAAGGACTTCCCTAACCTTACGTGGGCAGTGAGGAGGGGAGCTCAGAGTCATCACGAGGACTCGAGTGTCAAGCACTGCCTCCCAGCACAATTCACCTCTTATTAGGAAATTAAGATAAATGGTTGATTGACAAGAACAGAGTCCTTGGTGTGAATCAGAAACAAGCTTATTTCTTCACAAGCCTTGTTAAAACCCACACTATTCAATAGATTTCCTTTGCCCTTGCCTGAACCTGAGAGGGTTCCAGAGTGCTGTCAGTCATTTTTTTGATGCTGGAATCCTGTGGTCACTTTCAAGCACAATGACTGCCAGGCAGCCTAGTGCTCATAGAAGATATTTGGAAGCAGAGCTGTTGTTTATGGAAAGAAGGGTTTTGAAGAAAAGTTTATAATGACATGTGACATAATAGCGAGGCTGGAGTATGTATACATTTTTTTAAGAGTGTAATAGCCTGTGGGAGTTCAGAACAAGCCACCCCAAGTTGTGCTTCTGTGTATGCCGATTAAGTTGAGCTAAGGGCAATGTTACAAGCAGGCTCAAGAGAAACTTCTGCCCTTCTCTTTAACTACCTAGAGGAACTTGAATCAGGGACCTTGGCCAGAATAAAGGATTATCAGCAATAATCTCTTTTCTCTTTGGCGGGGGAAACTTCTATTTACTAAACATCTGCTGTTCTTATCCTGCAATGACCCTTGAAGCCCACAAGGTGTGTTACTTCATCCCTAGCTCTGGGGGTCTTATACACCTAGATCCCTTTCTATCTCTGAACCTCTCCTGCCTGTGGGGTTCCTGACTCTCTCATGTATGGAGAGCTCCCACATGTATGTATAATTAAATATGATATTTTCTCTTGCTAATCTGTCTCATGTCTATTTGATTATTAGACCACTCAGAACAACCTTGAGAGTAAAGTTCTTTTTTCTCCCATAGTTCGCTCTGTATTTTAATGACATCACAGGTTGACCTACCTATCTAACTACATAATCCCTAATTTCCTTCTTTCCAGCTGGGTATAGAGTTTTATTTTAGCTTAGAGAGGGGGCTCAAAAAAATTCCTATCAGGCTCTGAATTTTCAGCTTCTGATTTTGCCAAATATCTGATCAAATTTATTATTTAAATCCTTTCAAATATCTTGTTATATTTCAGCTGGGACAAACAGTATTTCTGGTTGTATTAAGCAATCCTGTGGACCCAAAGGGCACATAGTAAGAGAATCTGACCCTCAGAGACAAAAGGAAGAATTGACAGCCTTCATGGCCCAGTTCCCCAGTGAGACACAATGTCTACTTCCAAAATATAATGCAGTACAAAAAGAGAGGCAAAGTTGACATAACATTTAAAACACAAACCTTGCTTAAACATTCCAATTTTTGTAATCTTTTCAATTCTTACATTCCCATATTCTTTTTAAAAAAATATATTTTTATTGATTTCAGAGAGAAGAAGAGAGAGGGAGAGACAGAAACATCAATGATGAGAGTCATAGATCAACTGCCTCCTGCACACCCCCTACTGGGGATCCAGCCCAAACCTGGGCATGTGCCCTGACAGGGAATCAAACCGTCATCTCCTTTATCATAAGTTGATGCTCAACCGTTGAGCCACACCAGCCAGGCTACAAATTCTTTTAATCTAATTACAGCCTGAGTCAGGGCTTCACCACTGGGCTTCTGTACCACAGTTGGGAATTCCCATCTTAAGGAGTCCTGGACATTTCTCTTTTCTATCCCCTACCGCTCTTGAGTAGAAAGGCTTTGGGTCCTCAGTGAGGGGTTAAGCCAAGGAGCTCTAGCCCTGTTATCAGTCTTGAACTTGTTTTAAGTGGCCTGAATACTGCCCCGAGTGATTGCTGGTTAGGTTTCTCACTCTAATTGCTTCCTTGCAGTCTTTTCAATTTCTCCACACTGGGGAAAATAGAGCAGACTTGTTGGGGGCAATTTAATGTTGGGAGGCTAACAGGGGGCCAGTTTGGCCCGTTCAGCCTTTGGTATACTCTACTAAAACTTTTGTTTTAAGCCTGTCGATGTTGGTTTCATTTAGCTCTTTTTTATTTTGAATCTGCACATTCCTCACGATGGCCATTGAACATTTTAGATTACACTTTCCTTGAGGACTGGCAGCAGTCTGGCAGGACCCTAGCTGTAAACGGAGTTTAGCCCACATTTCTGTCTGGCACATTTTGGAGCTTCCAATCCAAATTCTTAGGACATAAGATT